CACTTGAATGTGGGTAAGTTTCATAAATAAAAAATAAATTAATAAACAACATTTTGAACAAAAGCTGAAAAAAGACTATGAATTGGATTCAGAATGATAATCAAAACGTAGATAGAGTCGATCAACACCCCAAAGCTTGACAGTTATTATTACCTCTTCATTGGTCGACATTTTATTCCATAACGTTACACAGTTTTGATGCTGTTTTATGTCTGATGATCGTGTTAGAATACATGTGGAAGCATCTGTTGTTTCAGTTTCTTCTTCACTTGTGTTTTTTTGGAAAAAAACAGAAGATGTGTACTAGTGCCCTCTACAGTATAACAATGAAAACACGGATTCTAGGAGCAAAAGTATAGCTCAAATATAATTAGACTTTTTTTTAAAGTATAATTCAACTATACTTAAATGTCATTTTAAGTATATTTCTGAGAAGTACATATGAGAAGTACATAAAAAATAGACTAAAAGTATACTTTCCTATTTTTTATTTTAAAAGAAGTATTCTAATAGCACACTTGAATAAACTTCTTTTTCGTAAGGGAAACCATCACTGTCAAAGTCTTCTCAACATTATCAAAAACTCCGGGAGCAATGCAGGGTTCATTAACACTGTTAAAATACACAGACTGTAATTTTCAGCTTTCAGCTTGCTGAAGCATGCTCATTCACTGACAGCACACTGAGGATCAGGGACAGAATATCTGGCATATTTTGGTTTCAGTTTACCAATAATTTATGGGAGTCATAGGATAATACAACCGAAATAACACAAATGAAAAAGTCTGAATGAAGCCGAAGCTAATCTGAAATACTCTGATAGTAGCAGATTCAGCTCATTTTTCTTTTTCAGCTAATTTGCAGATAATCAAGTTTAATTTAGGTCCTGATCATTTGTAAAGTGTAATTAACCTAGTAAGAAGAAAAATATGACCACCATCTCTCATAAAATGAAATCTCCTCGTCTGTAAAATCCACTACGAACAGATTATTTTGCATGACTTTCACTGATCTACAAGGTTGAATTCTTCCAAACATTTTCAAACCTCTCTCAGCCGTATTTGGTTTTGGATTGCTGATTCATTTTTATTTATTTATTTGTAAGTTTTTGAGGCACCAGTTCTGATGCCCTTGATGTGATAACAAAAGAAAAAGTACCATTTAAAAACTGATTTGAAAAAATGCTGGTAAGCAAACAACTGATGGTAGCTATTGACTTCCATAGCATTTTTCCATATAATGGAAATCAATGGTTACCGTCACCCATTTTTGGGTGAACTATCCCTTTAAATTAGTTTAATCTGGGGTTTAGATTTTTTAATGCTTTTGAAAGAAGTCTCTTACGCTTATCAAAGCTGCATTTAATTGATCAAAAATACAGTAAAAACAATAATATTGTAAAATGTTACTACAATTTAAAACAACTATTTTTTTATTTTAAAATGTAATTTATTGCTGTGATCAAAGCTGAATTTTCAGCATAATTTCTCCAGTCTTCAGTGTCACATGATCCTTCAGAAATCATTAAAATATGCTGATTTGCTGCTCAAGAAACATTTCTTATTATCAATGTTGAAAACAGCTGTGCTGCTTAATATTTTTGTGAAAACCGTGATACATTTTTCAGGATTCTTTGATGAATAGAAAGTTCAAAAGAACAGCATTTATTTCAAATAGAAATCTTTTGTGATATTATGAATGTCTTTACTTTCACTTTTGATCAATTTAATGCATCCTTGTTGAATAAAAATATTAATTTCTTCTAAAACAAATTTTTTTTTTTACATAATTAGCAAAGATACATAGATCTAGAATTTATAAATACAAACAAAAGCGATGCTGAGAACTAAGGAGGAATAAAAGCAGCACTGTCTGTCTGTCTATTTCCAAGAAATAAATGAACAAACACAAACAATATGGACCCTTTTCTCTCTGACAAACACTGGCGTCCTTTGAAATACAGAAAAAGATGTTAATGGATGAAGAGAAAACCCTTTCTAATGGCAGTTATAACAGTTCAAAGACTCAACTTTGTAAAGTTTTCTGCTGTAATCAGGATAATAGCAAAACCAGTGTTGGCCAACAAAGCAAAATGAGAATAACAAGCTGTAGTGAGGCAGGCCTGTCCCACATGACACACTTGATGAGGTGTTGCACACCTGCAATAGCTGTTGCGTGTGCAAGTCTGTGAAATTCACAAGACCGTAGGGTGGCCAGTTCAATATTTGAGGTTCCAGAAGAAAGCTCACGTGCCCTCGATGTGCCCTTTTGCTCAGCCCTACAACTACATCATCAAAGTGTGCAGTCAGAGGAGGAACGTGAGGGCTTGGGGCAGCATTTGGGACAGGACCCTTGACAATGATTTACTAATTAAATCTCTTTTGGAGGATTTTAGAACTTGATAGTTAAAAATCCAAGAAAAAGAAGCAAAAGCAGTGGAAATGGCAGGTGATAATAAATGTGAAATAATAAAAAATGAAAACAGTAGTTTAACATTTACAGTATCTGGGACACCACATGGGAAAATGAATAAGACAGTATTGAGGGTGCTAGAAAACCTCAGTGCAGTCATCACCTGCCAGCGGTGTGTGTGTGTGTGTGTGTGTGTGTGGTCTGAAGGAAGGATTACAGTCTTCTGATATCTCCTCTTGAGAGTCTGATAATAAAGGACCATTGTGCCACTCTCACGCTTGTCACCTGACAATCTGGGTCGAGTTAATTCGGTGTTGTCTCATTACATTGTGCACCAGAGGTGAGAAAGGACATTTATGCCTCAGGGACACTCTAGAGACCTTTGCTGATCTGATTATTGTAGCAAGCGTGATAGTTTTTCTGCAACGTTTGGCATGTTCCACATCAAACCAACATTCAAGAGGAATAATAAAGAAAAATAATCAATAACCTTATTCTAAATGCAATCGAATTCGATATGAAAGAAAAAAAAAATCAAACTCTGTTTTTGAAGTCAAAAGCATTAACTCACATTCTTAAAGCCCCGATAGAGGATTTGAAGCTCTTTGCGTGAGAAACGCGTTTGAGCCTCCAGCTGCTCCAAAGCTTCTGGTCGATGTCGCACAGCAGACAGCTCCAGCTCATCCTCGACACTGTCTGTAGAGAAACACAGAACTTCAGGCTTACGATCCATCTCTTCAAACTCAGATTAACAGTGTTCATCTAAAATTCTATTTTTGATCAATAAGTAGTGGACCAAATAATGACAAAACATATAAAAACATTGAGGACTTTGTATTCCACAGGCAATATTAGATATACAACATTTAATGAGATCTAATATATAAATATTAGGGGTGTGACGAGACACTTATCCCACGAGACAAGACGAGACACGAGACTGGGTTCACGAGAACGAGACGAGACGAGATTTTAAGACTTTTTTAAAGAAATCCTCAATGATGAAACATTTAGGGGACAAAATGTTCATTGCTTAAGTCTTTAAAAAATATATTAATTTGAAAAAAAAATAAAAATAAAAAATCAATGAATGAGTCAGTGTCTCAATTCATAAAGATCTGTTTCACAATTGGAATCTCCTGAATGAATGATTCAATGACAAATACTTTTTTTAAACGGGCAGTTGTCGCCACCTCCTGGCGGAAGAGTATAAGCGGTACATACATACAAGTGTTAAGATACTTTCATTTTGATCGCTACTGAAGAGAATAAGTGTTTATACCCAAACTATAAACTTTTATCCCAGTACTTATCCCAGTGTTATTTAAATGTCTGTAACACAGAAATAATGATGTGTGGTTGAAAAGACTGTTTGTGTTGCTCTTTCTGGATCAGCAGCAGCATGAATGATTCATTAACATGGGCAGCGACAAAACGTGCTTCTCACACTCCACTGACACTCACGATGTGAAACAGTCGTAATAGACATAGCTGAATTGTTGTCATTCAGGAATAAGATATTAAAGAATAATGTTGCTCTTTCTGGATCAGCAGCAGCATGAATGATTCATTAACATGGGCAGCGACAAAACGTGCTTCTCACACTCCACTGACACTCACGATGTGAAACAGTCGTAATAGACATAGCTGAATTGTTGTCATTCAGGAATAAGATTGCGTGGGTGTTTGAATTGAGATCGCGATCTTTAAACGATTAATTGTGCAGCTCTAATGTAAACTGCAAATTGTTTTGCAAGGATATCGGCACGTTAGACACACCGGATCTTGCGAGATCTCGTGCCACGAGATCTCGTCACATCCCTAATAAATATATTTTTCATCAAAAACACAATTTTGTGTTACATCACAGTTACATCAATACGCCACTAGATGGCCACACGTGACTTTAAGAGCGAGTCACTGAATCGTTTACTTCAACCAATTTGCTCAAAAGCACTGATTCATTCAGGAGCAAAAACAAGTGAATAGGCTTGCTTTAGATGCATCGGCGGTACGCAGACCGATCGGTCTATGACATCAAAGTACCGCAAGAGCAATTAAAAAAAATAAAGAGTCGTCTGCTGTACAATCGCTCTCTTGGCGCTTTGATGTCATACTCCAATCGGTCTGCACAGCGCCGATGCACTTCGAACAAGACTATTGTCATTGAGTAGGTCATTGAATCATTCACTCAACACATTTGTTCAAAAACACTGATTCATTCATTAAGTGATTGGCTGCATCTGAAATTGCATACTCACAATTTAATTCGCCATGATGCTTCAGTGCCATTTACAAATCATCTCCCATGGCCCCTTGGCCTCATACTTTGAAATCTCAGCAGAAGTCACCCAGGTACTTTTTGCCTACTGTTCTATCAATACTGTAAATTCAGACATACTGCTCTTTTCACATACTGTTTTTGCCTACTAAATAGTAGGGAAGTATGCATATTCAGATGTAGCCACTGTTTTTATAAATGAGCCACTGAATCATTCACTCAACTGGTTTGGTCAAAAACGCTGATTCATTCATTAACAAAACAACGAATCCCTACATCCCAGTGTTCATGCCATCCATCCTAAATAGTATGTGAGATCAGAATAAGTGTATGCCAAAGCATAGTATGTTGAAAAGTGTATGCCAAAAGTCCCTGGATTGTCTACTATTTCAGGTAGATTTTTGAAGTGTGGATCTGTGCACACTCTAATGGCTAATATTGGCCACAATCCATTGCGCTCTGGTGAAGGATTCGATTCAGAACTACAAACACGAATAAAAAGCTTTTAAAAAACTACAAACATGGCAGATGTGTGTGTCTAGATTAAGGGGTTTGAGTTACTAATAATCAACATTTAACCTGGTAAAAATATTTATTTAATGGTATCTGTGTTATTTCTCATCTGCAACAACAATGTGAACTTTTATAAATGTCTGATTGGCAATTAACTTTTAAATGCATCATTATACAAAAATATGAGCAGAGTTCTCCGTATAAAGTCCCACGGCTGGCAGATCAACGTGCTACTTCTTTTCTCTCCAATAAGGTAGGACGTTAAATTAAATTAAATGTGGAGGATGTTAACTGTGACAAGATGACTGACAGCCCCAGTTTACAGTGACAGAGTGCATATAACTATGCGACAGAGCAGTCCGTTAAAGACACAATTGTATGACGTGATAGTATGTCCCAAAGCTTGCCTACTCTTCTACTACACACTCAAAAGTGAGTACATTTTCTTCACCAAAAAAGTACATACTTTAAGGGTGTAGTATACGTAGGCACATTGGGATGCAGCACAGTGAGTCATTGAATCATTCAGTCAACCGATTTGGTCAAAAACACTGATTCATTCGTTATAAAAACAAGTGAATGTCTATATGAGTGAGTCACTGAATCATTCACTCAACCAATTTGCCTAAAAACACTGATTCATTCATTAACGAAACAACTGAAAACATGTATGAGTGAGCCATTAAATCATTCATTAAACCAATTTGTTCAAAAGCACTGATTCATATTTTGCACAAAGACGTGCAATATTTCTTTCTGCTTTGAAACTATTTTCCTTGGCAAAGCAAAAATACACTGTTAATTTATTGTCTAAAATGCAAGTTACCCAATATTCACTTCTTGTTTAATGAATTGTTGTATAAAAGCAGCATCACATAGTCATTATAGCAAATATGTACCATTCTGGCAGACTGACAAGGTTCTAGAGCAAATCTCAAATATTCAAAGCAATTTGATCTGGCTTTCCATCTGTCCAAAGGATCTTAACAGGCCTTGGTGTCTCAACCACATTAGCCTTAAATCTAAAAAAGCTTTCAGCTCATATTTGAACCCTTATAAAAAAGTATTGCTGGACAACTGGATTTCTCTACATTAAATTAGGTCATCTAGTATCCATTATGACCTGCGTCTGAGATTTACACATTATTTACACCCCTAAAGACGAAATAATCTTTAAAAATAATGAGTGAGGAACAGAAGCCAGTAAAACAATGAAATGTAGAGTGAGTCTCATAACATTAATCAGAGGTGACGGGTGCTATTGGGAGGCACAGTGATTACTGTGACACCTGAAGCGTGGAAGACTAATAGCTGACATATGACCCTCTGATCCACAGAAGACGACTCATCAAATGACTGGCAAACAGAACTGACACATATGAACAACATTTTCTCATCTCGTCCTTCTGGGAGTATAGCGATCACATGCAATCAGAGTAATTGTAGTATCATTACCGCTTCATGCTAACAGCCCTGTTTCATAAAACAATGCATAAATATTTCAATAGCAGCATACTTTGGCATCTAAAGTTGTTCATTAAAAATACAAAATAGAGCATTTTAACAATCAACAATTACTATGACAGTTAATCATTTCTAGCTCACTTCCAGAATTCAATGCAATTGATATTTAGGATTTGCTGCAATGTTGTTTCCTGAATATAAAAATGGTCAGTACTGTACAGTATGCTGTGATTTCTTAATTAATTTTTTTCACCTATTTGGCTTTTGAAAGAACATAACCTTCCCAAGAATAGAGCAGGAGGTATTCAGAGGACATACTGTAACAAATCCAGTATAATACTATAATGTAATAATCTGGCAGCTGGAAGACTTGAGTACAAATGTCTTTGGCTTACATAAAGACATGAAAAGAGTGAGAGATAGAGAAATCCAGAGGTCAAAGATGAAATAGTTAAGAAGAGTTAAAGAAAAAGAAATGAAAGGATTGACACTACCCTTGTGAAAAAGAAATACACTTTAGGATACTTTTAAAAAGAGTACTTATTATGGAAATAAAAGGCTTTAAAATATATACTGAAGTGTGAATTATAATGTTGAATGTAATAAAAATGATTATATTATAGTCTAAATGTATATTAAATACAATTCGCTGAACTTAAGAGTGCTTTCTGACACACTTAAGTAGTACCTAGGTACATATTCAATAGGTGTAAGCACACTTCTTTTTCACAAGAGTGTGGACAATAAACTAATAGCAATAGAGCTTTCTGAGAAAGTTGCTGGAGGTTTGTGTTGAAAGAGGACTTGCTTTGGGTAGTGGTGGATGGTGCTTTGGTAGAAGAGCATAGGAACAGCTTCTTGAGCCGTGCCGTAACTCCAAGCCTGCTGCTGTTCTGAAGGCAAGCGTTACCTAGGAGATACAGCGTGAGTCTCACCACAGCAACCAGGGTCAACCGGAGCATCGGGGCGGCAGCATGCTGACATGAGTTCATGAAGCAAAGGATGCATGGATGTGTTGTTTCGTGCAGATCCAGGATCAGTTTTTCTGTGAATTCTATTAGAATTACTTGATGACTTGCTTTTTTTTTTTTTTT